CTGCTGAACATGGAGAAAACATCACTGAATTGCAAGCTGGACATTCAAGTTCAAACAGAATTATTCAATTAACTGACACATTCAGCATGTCACTCTCACGCAGAAAGGCAGTGTTAACCTCTGTTTCCTCATGGACTAAAAAAAAATGCTTTAGGAGAACAGTGTTCCAATGCTGCATCTTCATCCATTCTTGCCCAGCACCAGAGAAGTAAGAGGGAACTTGACTACCATCTACTTTGCTTCCAGCTGCCCAACATCAGGAGTTGGCGCTTTCTGCCCATCTTCCCAGTCTCAAGGAACTTGCAGCAACATTTCACTCCAGCCAAATATGAAACCCACTTCATGTGCTGCTTTGGCCAGAGTGACCCACGTGTTATTTTCTGACTGACTACTGGTACATCTCACAGAACACAGAAGATTCTCTGCTTCCTTACTAGTGAATAGCCAAAATGAAGTCTTCTCCCACAAATAATATCTGAAAGCCATTTCTCCTCATCTCAAAAAAATAATAAAAAGCCTCATTAAGTGCAAGGGTCACTAAATAACTCTAAAAGTTATGATGATACAGGACTGCTGTACCATTTTAAGGTCAGTGAAATCCTGCTTTAACATCTCCCACCTTATCAAATCACCAAGACACACAGTTTGGGGAATAATCTGAGGAATTCTTGCTCACTTAACAGCTTCTGTCTGGTGATCTCATCAGAAACAAAATTACTACGCATTAAATGTTAGTACCAAACTAACTGAAAACTACAGCCAGGTAGAAGATACTGGGAGTTCCCACTTGTATCAATGTAAAATTCATTTACTTGGTCTCCTAGGTTTCTAAAGGAAAGGTCTCCTCCCTCCACTTTGTTAAATAATTACTAGTAAGCATATAATATGGATTCAATACTAGTATTAACAGAGAGCATACAAAAGATGAGTACTCACTCACTATACACTCACTGTTTCAATTTATTCGTCAGACAATCACGTCTACATATTGCCTCCCACATAAACTGAGCTTTTTATAAAACTGTCTGTCAAAAAGCTTACAGGTAACCTGCACTGGGAAGGGTGAGAAAGACAGGGCCCAACTCTGCCCTGGAGAAGGAAAAGAGGATAGTAAAGAGGCCTTTGCAGGCAAACCTGTGTATCTGAAAGCTGCTGCACTAGGCTATTCTAGCAAACAAGCTGTGTGTCACGTGTGTGAAGTAGGCTGCTGTGAACCCTGCCAGCCACACGTTACAGCACTTTGTAAACTAAGAGTCTGTATGGAACTTTACAGCTGCTTTTCACCAGAAGATATGAAAGATGCAGGCTTGTTGTGTGTGCCAGCTAGGCACTATTACTGACATTTCAGAAATAAAAAATTCTTTA